TTGGATTCGGTCTTTGTCCTGATAGTTCTGCGTGAGACTGTTCCTGTTTTGGCTATTGTACATAGATTCATAGCCTTGATAGGGGAGTTTACGAGTTGATATCCTGCATTTGGGTCACATGCTGTTTCACACCGGTACAGTAACCTGAGATGTGAATTATACTCACAATGATAAATTGTTCTTGAAGTGGGTATAGATAGACAGTGTACTAGATAGGCATTATGGATAGAGAAGCCAGCACTTGTCTACTTAGTTAAGGAAAAGTGGAGGTTCTTTGTTTATGAACAGTAGCTATCTCATGACTTTATCCAAGCCATAAATCTGCTCCTCTTCTCAGCAAGCACATGAATAGGCAAGCTGGCTGAACAGTCTCTCAGCATTCAAGTGGCTTGTGAATTGAATCTTAACCCGCATATTATGTCCGGGTGTTTTTATTTCAGTGGTGGAGTAAATCCCGAAGTGGAGAGTCCTTTGCAGTTACACCCCTCGGGGAGCTGAGAAATGTCAGCGACACAGTGAGGTTTTACAAATCGGCAATCCAGCCCGTCTTCTTTCTCTGATATTGTATTAAATATCTCCCAAGCGGCAGACATGTTGCTCTGAGAACAGCGCGAGCAATGGTCGCCGCACGTGCTTGTCCGCCGCGTTTTGATTACGGTCATCACAACAACACGTTAGCTTACCCAACGAACCCTGTCTCCTGACATTCGTGATAGTTTCGGTGCTAGGGCCTTTCTTAACCATTTTCGGCCGGAGTAAATTTTCGGCGGCCGAATATTCGGTGCATCCCTAATTTATTATCAATAAATAAATGAAGTGTAAGAAATAAATACGGAATGAATAAGAAATAAATATAATAAAATACTGGATATTAATGAATAGGAATAATGTAATAACATGTAATTCAGGGGATAAATAGATTAATAAGATGCTGAAATAAATACATTTAAGAATAAATAATGTAGAAAATAAGTAGGTAAATGCATAAATAAATAAATATGGGCAAATAAATAAACCGTATCAATTAATTACAGAAAGTGAATAAATAACGACGTGCTGAAATCACAACAATTCTCGAACTAAATAGAATATTGAGAATACATATAGAAATAAAGTAGGTGAATGGATTAATAAATGCAGAAATACATGTTTAAATTACTTACACGGAGTAAATAAATAAAATAATAAATAGATTCTGAAATAGAATACATGAATAAAATATAACATAATCAGGAAATAAATAGGTAAATTTGGGGGGGTAATGAATAAATTAAGTAAAAAAGTTGATATAAGCAAACAGGACATACATGGATAACATCTTTATTTAATTTATTTCTACATTTTTGTACAACCTATTTATTTATGTATTTCCAGGCTCTGTATGTTGATTAAGGTTGGAGGGTCCTTCCTCTCACGTTAAACAGATATTTGTCAATTAGGCGAGCAAAATCTGCTTCTCTAAACTGCCAGTTGATGGTTTAAAGAATGCTTATTTATAGTATTTCATACCAGTTTTCTGATTTTGTGGGGTTGAGCTTTTATACTTAACAATACGTATTTGTGTTGTTTTCAGGCCCGCGTGACGATGCAGAGAGGACATATTCCAACACAGTCATGGGGATTTGGCGAGCGGATCCGAAAAGAACGGGGATGGGGGCAGAGGAACCGTGGGAATTGTTAAAGGTCATGGAAAAATGTAGGCAGCGTCCATGTGGGACTCATCATGCTCTTGGGGCTCATTTAGTGGCTCTGATCTCAGCTTCCCGGACAACTCTGAAGCGGTAAAAGAACACCCGTATTATAATAGGATATTATTTACATTTTACAGGGAAGGATATTCCCACTGTTGAGGCAAAGCTGGAATGCAAATACTGGCACTGCGAAAAATCAAGGCTGTTTTGCAAGAGGTGAGACAAGTGTATTTTGTCAAGTTTTTCCTTAACAAATATTTAGCTTTTTTGTTAATTGCTAATGTTCAAAGCAAATGGTACAATACAACTGTAGTTCAATTCAAATAGATACTGTAGGGCGTTTGTGCAGTGCGCTCTTTTAGTATATCAAACCACCCAATGATATTCCCTGTGTTGGAGAGCAGTGCAAAGCATCCACCTTTTTATAGCTGTGTTTGTTTGGCAACTGGAGATCTAAAATAGCTGACTGGTTCCATGTTTTCACCAGTTTTAAGCACTTTACGGGAGTGCTATTTGCACCACTTTAAAAATGTCTTTAAAAAAAATATTTTTACATCTTGCTCTGTGTTTTCAAGTAGAGTTAATATTGAGATGTGTATATAAATATTGATGTTGAATTGAGGATTACTGTCACCTTCCTCATCCATGATTGGCATTATTCTTATTTTTCTGAGTTGCTTTTATCTCCTGCTCAGTCTGTTTATTGATATGTTTTATAAAAAAAGAAATGCAGACAGACAAATAACTCTGACAGAGAACTTTGACACTGTTTACACAAGTAAAGTGAGGATTGGCTATCCACCTCAAGGTGTAATTGTTATCTGAGAATTTTCAATAAAAATATCTCAACTAGGTTTTGTCTCATGAATGTCTTAATGGGGGAGAAAGTGAAAAACAATTATATTTTTACATTATTTATTTACCAATTAATTATATTAGTTTGAGTTGGACAAATGTAGATTCATTTAATTTACTTAACGTAATTATTTTATTTCAGCTTTATTTGATAAAAATGAGTTGGACTAACTCAATTCAATTTTATTAAATGGATGTTTTTAGTTTCAGTTGGGGCTACGAATATTTATTGGATGGAAATCCTGCCCACAATTGAATTGAGTTCATCCAATGAGTTATTTTTTTGATACTTCCCACCTCTGTCACATTGTCCACATGTTAGGTACATATCGTATCTGGATGAACTCAGTGTCTCTCCTCTTCCTGCAGAGGTCACCAGAGAGCACGTACCGCAGAAAGTGAAAGTGAAAGAGCAGAGCAACATGCCAGAGTCAGCCCAGAGAAGCTATCAGTCTTTTCAGTAAGTACTCTTCTTTTAATTAAAGCTGCTGCATGTCTACCATGAAACGGGGTTACTCTGTAGGTTATACAACTCTAAGGTAACTTTAATATAGTCTCACGGAACGCGCGCTTTTTTAAGAGACAGACGACAGTGTTTGTGACGCATGTTTGAAGTGTGTGTACTAAAGGTTTCCATTTCTCTTCCTCAGAAACATGGACCAGAAAAAGGGTAAGAAGTGTCTTTAGAAATAAACTACATTTACACATTTGCAACTTTATACACATTTCAGAGGTGACCTATTTTTTCTGACAGCTTTAACGACTTTACAGATTACAATTCGTGCTTCCTGTCTAATGAACACCACGTGTCTCTAAACGTGATGATTTTAAATGTCAATGTATCCGTCAAATGTAAGGATTAGCAGGATATACAGCCTGTGTTATATGACAGTAACACCCTAAGGGGCCATTTTACTGCACAATGAATACTTTCACTTTCAAAATTCAAAGCTCAGTTGCTGCAATACTCACACACAGCTTTAAATATAAGATTTAATTTAGTTTCAGGGTGTGGGCACTTTAACTTGAAGGACCTATGTGTAGGACAGGGCGGAATTATTCTCAGAAATGGAATATAATATTTACACAATCACATGATTATGAAAAAGGTTGTGCTTTTATCTTGCTGGACTAAACTTATAACCATCATAACGTTGTGTTTGCTACGAAGCTTCTCCCCAATATTCATAATTCCAATGGAAACCCTCAATTGGCTTTTTTTAATGCTTTTTCCTTCGAGGTTGGCATCGGAAAATGATACTAATTCTTGCAGCACTTCGTTGCAATCTGCATTTTCACCACTAGATGTCACTAAAGCTGGTCCTTTAAGTCAGTGGTTCCCAACCCTAGAGGTACTGGAGGGTATTGCAGGGGATAGAAGAAAGATTAGGGGTGCAATATACCGTATTTCCACACAAAAAAACATATTCAAATCAATGAAAGACAAGCAAGTGTCAAGTGTCTCAATAAAAGCTCTTAACATAGATGTTGAAACTGCTAGAAGTGTGTCTTAATATTATTATTTTTCATTCACAATAAATTGAAATGTCAACTTGAAACTCATTTGTATTAAGGGTGAGGTAAGTGATTTTCATCTAAGGAGCAGTTGGGTTCAATAAAATAACCAAAGGTTTAACATAAGAAACATAAAAAAAAACACATGTTGAATTACTGTAAATTGGTATTTCAACATGTATATATATATATTTTTTTAATGCTTTTTATTCCTATTTTGAGATGTTTACATTTCAGATATGTTTATTTCCACCCTTTTAATTTCTCTTACGCCTTGTCTTTTGTGCTGCCGCCACGCAAACATGTCCCAAATTGGGATCAAGAGAGTACATCTTATCTTATTTAATCACAGATAAATTCAGGTGCTAGAGCTTTCGGCTTCCAAGCTCCGTTCCTTTGGAACCAACTTCCAGTGACGATTAGAGAGGCAGACAGTGTCCACACATTTAAGAGTAGGTTAAAGACTTTCCTCTTTGGTACAGCGTACAGTTAAGACCCTTTTATACATCCTCATGGACCCTTTGTTTTATGGAATTGTAATTATTGTACTCTAACTGTATTTGTGTCATTGTGTTAAGTACCTCTTTTAATTGGTATTTTCACATTCATCTTGTAAGATTCGTTTGTTGTTTTTACATTGTTTTCCATTGTTTTCCATTGCTTTTACATTGTGTTTGTTGATTTGTGAAGCCCTCTGAGACAAATATGATTTGTGATATTGGGCTATATAAATGAACTTGAATTGAATTGATTAAGATATGTTCACATAATTTGCCTTAAAGACTTGCATTATTATTTTGTTGTTGCTTTAACCAAAAGTGAATTGCTGTTAGCTTTGCCTTCTTGTGAAAACTCCTTAAACCCTCCCTGCCCTCAGTGGCATAGAGTCAGTTTTCTCTGCATTAATATGCATGTTACTATTTTAACTTCTGCCGGCCCATGTGTCAGTGTACAAGCTCTGGGCATCATGCCATATGTGCATGCATATTTTTGTGTTCATATCTCAACATGAAACTCTTGTGCACGTGTTCATGTGTGTGTCCAGGCCCTGGCGGAGGGACAGACGGCGCCCTGGGAGACGGCCAAGAAGGATGAGAATCGCAACAAGAATCGCTATGGCAACATCATCGCTTGTGAGTACTGCAATGAAATGGACGGACTAAGGAGTACTCTTTGCTAAATAGGGCTATGGTCCTTTAGCTCAGTTTGAATTAAGTTAGGCCTGGTGAAATTTGGTGTGGTTACGTTTTGTCTGGGTTGGTTTTGGTTTGGCAAATATCAGTTGTCTTGATCTAAGTCTGGTCTGATTTAGTTTGTTGGTTATTTTTGTGTCATTTAACTCCAATTCGATTTTTATTAGATACAGATAACTTTCTCTGTTTAGGGTCCTGCCTGAACAAAGCTTGGCTTGGTTTGGTTTGTTTCTTTGTCATTTTCAGTTGCTAGCGGTTTGGTAAAGTAATATCATGACTGAATGGGTACGCCGAAAACACCTTCAAGTAATCCCCATGTTGTGTTAGAAGATAGCCAAAGAGACAGATTAGGACTGTTTAACTGTGTATGTACTACTCAAAATTGATTTTAACATTTCAATTATCTGAAGGTACCAGAAGTGAGAATCACACACACAAAGTGTGGTCGGATGAATAGTTTTTGGATATATTTTCTGGTTGTAATACAACTCTTAGTATCAGACTATTTGACGTGTCATAAACAATCTAATTGTGTTATTGGGTCAAAAACTAAGGTATCGTCAGGAACCTGGTATAAAAAGATTTCAGCTGTAAGCGAGAGGTTTGAAAATACACATGGATTCTACTACGGAGGAGGGATAACGTCCAACCATAGTTTTAATAAAGTGTGCTGAAGTACCATGTTTACTGGGTGAAGCGACCGTCCTTCAGCTGGAGGACACCATCTGCCCTGAAGCGTCCTTCACAGAGTCTGACTGACTCCTCCAGCTCGGGGTGGGTCCCACTGATGGACCTTACCCCCTGCTGAGAGCCAGATGCCAGTAGAACCTGGTTTTTGGCGGGACCAATTCACTAGACGCTTCAAAAGGATGACTCAGTGGCACTTTTTCAATCAAAGCATGTGTTTAATAGTAAATAACAAAAAAGATATGCAGCTTGAATAAGATACATCATTTGTCTAGAAGTGATATCAAAGTGTACTCACAGTACAGGGAACCACTGTTGCGAAAATAACCCTTTTTGCAGTGGGAATATTTTTCATCATATGATCAAAGCTTGCAGCCTTTATTTTATTCAAAGAGACTTTTGTCAAAGTTAAGCTTCATTTTGTCGAGACAGGCTATTGTAATGATGTTCAGACGTAGCCAACTGCTTTTAGCATGAATGTGTGTTTGGCCATTAGAGTGTGAATTTGCATGTGAATAGGGCGCGGGTGTTTGCTATGATTTTGTGTGCACTAATAATGTGTGTGCGCTTGATATTGTATGAGGCCACCTCCAGCCTCTATTAGGATGCAACAATAGAAGCAGATTGTTAGGTTGAAGTTGAATTAAATGAGTGTGTGTGTGTGCCAGTAGACCAAAGAGCACATAAATGACGAGTACAGTCCAGAAGACTGCTTTCATTTGGCAGTTCATGTGTGTGTGTGCATATACCGCTCTGTGCGCATGTCTCATTACGAGGGTTTGGATGTCAAGGCAAAGACACTGCACTAACCTGAAGGCTTTCAAATGAAACATTGCTCTGAAATGAAATAGCCTGTCAAAGACTTGATAGCCAATAGGAATTATGATACATTTGCTATTAGTACAAATCCTTTAATTACAAGGGCCTGGTAATGGAAACTGTCCATCTTGCTTGCTGTGATTGTACAAAGGCTCATTTTCTAGAGAAAATGTTTCAAAGGGTAATTTTCTTCATGTCTTTATCAGAACAAGGGCATGTGGTGAGAGTGGCAGGACGCTTGGCTGCAGCTAAAACTTTAAATATGGGTTAAAGGGTCTTTATTCTTCAGTCAGGTTCACCTCTAATTCCCCTTTTCTAAGTGTGGATTTGCCTTCTGTTTTTTCAGCATGAGAGCAATAATCTCAGAACAAACTGCCTCAAGGAAGGACACAATGTCTCTTACACACTATGCTGGAAATGAAAATGTGGAATCATTACAATAGATGATTTATATAGCAATACTCCTGAACCATATTTACAAATTAGTTGCAAACACTGGCAGCTATGAAGAAAACCTATCCTGATCCAGTGCTTTCAAAAAAAGTGTCGACATGACCATATATTCCAAAAGACAATGGACTTTATTAACATCATTTACATAAAACAGACATCAGTCGTTTGTGACCGTAGCCTTTCCCTTTTTTTCCCTTGCAGTCAACATATACTATTATCTATATTGTCGTTTGGCAACTATAGAGCAAACACCCCCCAATTGCCCCCCAAGGCATATCTACGCTATCACGGGTTTGTGAGTCGCTTTTGACAAAAGTGTCAGCTAAATAACATGTCATTTAATTTTAATGACACTCATGTAGTAACATAGTTTTTTTTTTACACCCATCCCTGTGTTACTTATTTCCCCCTGACAGACAGGATCAAAAGTAAAAATGCGTACCTTCCGTTCAAATTCAAATCATTTTAAATGTGTATTGATTTCTACTAGAACCTGGTTTTAACAGAACACACATGTCAGTTAATGATCAGTATGCAAAATTGTCACTGCTTGTAACATTTTCTTTGAAAATTATGTTCCTTTCCCGGCTCTCCCAATTTGAATGACATTCTTTTCAAGGAATTTCATATTTTCCGTACACCCAACACTTTTCCATTCAAAATGAGTGGCTGCACCATAAGAGGCAGAAAGGTTAAAGGTTTGATTCTACCATAAGAAGAGATACATACAGTATGACATCTATGTTTACTGCTTAAAGTCTGATCCTGTCCCCAGGGACAGACCCTCTAACCCAGTGTTTCAAAGTGGGGGGCGCAGAGGCCAGGAGGAAAAATGGTTTTGAAATAAAAAAAAGAATCATAATTTGAAAAATTATTGATTTGAATATAATATGATACAGTACAAGTACGTCTGGGTCTCTGAGTTTAATTCAAGCTCGGCTCTGTGTGTGTGGAACGAGCCATTTTGTGCGCGAGCAAGAGAGAGAGAGAGAGAGAGAGAGCGCACCAGCACCGGAGATCGTTGTTGTTAGCTTCTGGTGCTAGCGAGCTACGCTGACGGATATAAGGAGTTTTTTCAACAACAAGGTGGAGGGAACTCTCGCCTGTCAGACTGAGAGCCTCAGTGAACTAAAGGACTCTCTGAGTGTTTAGATAGTTAACTTTAGTCCAAGTTATCTCAGTGGGTCTCAAACGTTTTGGTCACGATTAATGTAAACAATAATTTCCGAGGCACACGTTTATATGATCATTATAGTTATAAAACAATAAGAGAATACATGAAAAACAGGTATGAAATAGTATATGACAGTAAAAAAAGAATAAAGTTTAAAAGGGTGATTTGTAAAATATCCATAAAGAAAAAGAAATCTGTTTACAGTTCTGTTTCATATGGGTGTTGAGAGAGTATCCATAGATCTCTTCATGTTGCTCTCAAAGTGCACCAGATTGATGCTTTTAACTTCAATATTTAAAAATAAATCTTCCCGGGGGAGCTTGCTACGTTAGGTCCACTACCCACCTATAAAAATAGCACTTTACCCCTGCTTACACCTATATGCCGTGAGCTGATTATCGAGCCTTCATTGTAACAGTCGCGGGTACATTGTGTGTGTGCGTGGGGAGTTTTGCAGTAGAAAATTCCACTGTAGCGCCCAGTACATTAATGGGAAACCGTACATGTTTGAGCACCCTCTATGAAACGTCAAGCTACCCCACAGCACCCCCAAAATAAATCTCTGGCGCCGCCACTGAGCCTGCAACCCCTTTTTGAAGAAATGTGCAGTGCAAAACAGGCTCATTGCAGCCACTCATGATAAGACACACTTTTTTACCAAATATCAGCATTTTCCTTTGTTTCATTTTTTTGCACAGATTGCCAAGTGTCAAAGTATTATAACTTATTGTTCTAGCAAAGGGATTGCACAATTGTATTATGTTTTATTTTTTTGACCACTGTTACGTCCCAACTAGGGGAAGAGGAATGCAACACATACCAGTATGTAATTGGTAATAATTATAAAGTGGTTTTATTACAGAACCGGGTAAAACAAAATGGAAGGCACACAGCCTGAACAAACAAAAGGGCCAAAAGGGCACAGGTTGATAACCAAACAAAAGGAGGACTCTAAAAAAGGAGTCTAATGGCATACAGGGAAAATAAATACTAATATAAAGAACGAAACAAAACCTCACTTCAAAAGTGGTACAACTAACCAAAGAATCTATACAAAACACAGCTAAACTAAAGGCAACAGTCACACAATACTAAGCACTCTAAACACTATCTAAACACAGACCACACAAGTTAACCACAGAACAAAGAGCAAGTAGCGAGAGGCGTCTGTTCACTCAACAGAGCCTCCAGAGTGGTGATAGTCCGCAGCATTTGTACTCGTCCCCAGCAGGTGTGCGCCGGCTGTGCTCTGCGTTTGGATGACGTCAATCCAATCACCATCTTCAGAGGCGGACCAGAGGATGGGCAGCCAATGACGTCAGGGCTACTGCGCAGCTTATTTACATATTACACGCACAGCTGAAAACACTCACAGGCAGATTAATGAGCAGACCAAAACAGCAACCGTAACAACCACACAAATTTATGGACTATTGTTTTTATTATCACGTTCATATTGATGAACACTCCATATGAATCCCCTCATTTGACTTCTCTGTCACACACTTCCTCACTTCCTCCCTCTCTATCTCTCAGCGTAGTTTGGAAAGGGGCTGATTTGAGTTGAAGTGCTAACACACCGTCCTCCGGCCATCTGCCAAACACAAACGGCTGATGCCATGTTTGAAATCATTTCAGCGCGCAGACTAAATGTTAATCTAGCAGCCTCCTGCCCCCCTGTCCCTTTAAAGCCTCCCCTCCCCCTGTTCCACTCCCAACCTTGATGTCCCCTTCTCATTCCGTTCACTTCTCTTTCTTCAATTGTAACTTTACTCCTTCACTTCCTTATACTTTTTCATCTCTATAC